AGCGCGCTACCGCTTGAGCCACATCCCCAGCCCTCATTTGCTTCTTAAGGAATAAAAAAAGTAATACAAATATTTGGGAATGGTCCTTCAATATTCCACCTAAACAAAACTGACCCACAGGAATCATTTGCACAATTGAAATGAAAACTGATCACTTACTGCAGTCTTTTTCATCTCTGTTGTTTATAATTTTGGTTTTCTGACTGGAAGTCCCAAATAGTTTTTTCCAGTTTATTGTGTTTGCATAGCACAAATTTCGGTTTCCTGAAATTATCACATCTCCATCACTTATCTCCTTCAGGGAGCGTAATCCCAAGGATGTTATGTTCAGGCCAACAACTGCTAGAGAAAACTGACCACTAAATTGGGGAAAAGAAAAATAACCTTGTGAACAATGATGCAAACAACATATCACTAAAAACTTTATTTTGTTGTTCAGGACTACTTAGATTTACTACCATCTTCCAATGATTGTAAGCTATGTTGTGAAAGGTATACATTATAGTTTTGGAAACTGCAAGTGGGTAAGTAGTTTTTTTTTTTTGGTACCAGGGATTAAATCCAGGGATACTTTACCAATGAGCCACATCCCCAGCCTTTTTTTTTTAAATGTTTTATTTTGAGACAGGGTCTTTCTAAAGTTGCTTAGGGACTTGTTAAGTTGCTAAGGCTGGGTATGAACTTGTGACCCTCCTGCCTCGACCTCCTGAGATGCTATGATTACAGATGTGTGCCACACTACTTGGCTGCAAGAAGTTTTTTTGAGCTTTTCTAAGGACAAGCCAGTTCCTCATTCCTTTAGTATCTTCAACCTCAGAAACAGACTTGAAGGGGGGCTGAATAAATACCTTCATGACATTTTATTTACTACACTTTAATTTTTCTTAGAAATTGGAAACACATTTCACCTCTGAAAACCCCAAAGGTATTTTAAAGACTATAGGTTTGTCTGTCCATCCATCAATCTAACCACCTACCAGTTACCCAGTCATATACTTACTGAACAAATATTTGTGGTACTATGTGCTAAATTCTATGTAGATTAAATACATGTTTCCTACTCTCAAGGAACCCTTTATCTAGAGGTGAAATAACCATATAAGCAGAGTATTTGAGCCTAGAGAGGTGAATGCAGCAAAACTAAGAGCCATTACAGAAGCATGTAATATTTAAATAGTCCTGAAAAAGGGGGACTTCCCTACAGCCATGACGCTTGAGGCTATCACCTGAAGAGCAGGACCCCTGATATTTTCCTTTACGCTAGGACTCCACAAGGTATTCAATATGTGTGCATCAATTGACTGGATGAAAGAGACTGAGATAAAAGGAAGAAGTTCCAAACCACCTGGGCTGGATGCTGAGAGTCGTGGTTTGCTGCACATAAATGTGCAGGTGGCGGGGGGACTGGGAGATGGTGTGGAGGGTGGATGAGGCTGGAGCACAGAAGATCTTGCACTGTTCAGGGGAAACTTGGATTGCTCTTTGTGACTGACTAGAAACCACAGGGAAAAAATCTGCACTTGTAGGAAGCTCACTGGACAAGAGGATGTGGAACAGACCAGTTCAGACAAGACTTGAGTGAAGAGTCTTCTAATTAAAGTGTTAAGTGGCAAAGGTTTAAAGGATAATTTGGCAGCCCTTCTCTCCCTGTTCTTCTCCTCCCCATCTTTTCTCCTTTCCTTTCCCTCTTTTCCTACAACCTGGCTTCTAAGAAGCAGAAGGCCCTGTGCAAGATACCTATATCCACTACTGCTAGGAACTCTCTCCCTGCCAAGACACCAGGGGCCAGGCTGGGATCTTCCCTGCAGGACAGGTCTGGAGTTTTGGGGAGTCACATTCTGGAACTTATGATAACCTTGTGGCAGTGAGGACTGAATATTACTGGATTTCTCCCTAAATGTGAAAAAATACACATTTTTCATCTTCATCTTGCTTAAATCCCTAAAAATACCCAAAGTGGTACGTAGAAGTCATCTAAACCAGTGCTTTAAATATCTCAGCTTTGTATGAATGGCAAAAAAAGCATTCCTGAGAATTCAGAGCAAAGGGGTCTTTTAGGGAAGCAATAGTAGCTGCATATTTATTTGTTTTTATTTATGTATTTATTATTGTGGTACTAGTAATGCAACCCAAGGGTGCTCTAGCACAGAGCCACATCCCCAGCCCTTTTTATTATTTTTTAAAAATATGAGACAGAGTCTTGTTAAGTTGCCATGTTGGCCTTGAACTTGTAATCCTCCTGCCTAAGCTTCCCAAGTCATTGGGATTACAGGCATGAGCCACCACACCCAGTTTAGTTGTATGTTTACTAGTATCAGAAGTGTTTATCAAACAGACTTTATGGAAAGTAATATATATTTTATGTATCCGGTATTCTGATTTTCTTTAATATTGCACAATATTATGTAGTCCTTTTAATATTCAATTATGGAAAACTCTTCTCAACAAACAGTTTCCAAGGCAGGTGTAAGCTAAAGATTTCCAAATCCCTCTTCCTCACCACAAAAGTTATGATTTCTCTTACTATGTTAAAGATGCTTTGTGTGTGTGGGTGTATGTGTGTGTTTCTGAGTGTGTGGATTTCATTGTTGAAGTTGAAAAAGTAGAAATCATAAAATGCATTCTACAGTCATGTGTTATTAATTAGCACAAATAAAATAAAAAGAAAGAGTAGAAATCATGAAAAAAAAAACATTTAGTGTTAAAAGGTCTCTCCAATTCCCCTGATTGAATATGCATAACTTCAAATGCATCACGACAAAACTTCAGCAAACACAAACTGAGACATTCCACAAAACACCTAGCCTGTACTTTTCAGAGTGTCAAGGACATAAAAGACATGGTAAGACACAGGAATTAACACAGATTGGAGGAGACTAAGAAGATACAAGGGGTAAATGCAGTGTGAGAAGTTGGAGTGGACAGTGAGAAAGATGCATGGAAAACCTGGTGAGCCCAATAAAGCCTGTAGTTTAGTTAACAATGTCAACTTTTTCATTTTGATCCTTGTACCTGCTCATGCAATACTTTGTTAACCTTAAGGAAAGCTGGGTGAAGGATATATGGGAAGTCTTTGTACTAGTGTGGAAACTCTCGTGTAAGTCTAATTTCAAACTAAATAAACAGAGAGTTAATCTATCAGGCTTTGGCTGTGGTCCACTTACTGTTGCTTTGTCCTGCCACGTATGATTTCTAGGTTCTCAAAAGCATGGAGGTCAGTCTTGTTTTCAGGCCACGCTTGAATCAGCAAAAACCCTAGAAGGCAGAATAAAGACTCAGACATGTACCCTTTGGATTTTCTTTTCTTCCTTCCTTTCTTTCTTTTTTTTTCCTATTTCTTTTTGTATGAACCATTATTGTAGGATTCTCATTAGACTCTCCCAGGATAGTGAATATTTGTTTGGATTGTGCTCTTATCCTCTTCACTGAGGACATGAACATATGAGTAGATGAAAGTCAAGGCAAAATTCTACTCCCCTGCTACACCTCTTCTACTGCCCCACTCCCACCTACTAGGCTGTGAAACAGCTCTGATGGCCCTTTGGGGGCTTTATATCTGATTCCCCCCCAAGTGGACTCCTGCCTTACAGACCACAAATTTCAAATATTTTTCTTATTTAGTTCCAATTCGAAAACAAACCTTGCTTTGGGTCTAACTTTCCCCCCTTTGTAGAGATGAAGAAAGTGGAGCTCAGATATCAATCATGGACCCAAGGTATGCCATAGGCCAAGCAGGGATTTAAAGTCTAGTTTATAGGGCTTGAGAGCTCCTACTGTCCCTCATCTTCCCACTCTTCCCTTCCCTCCACCCAGTGCGGTTCCTGGCCCATCAAGGGGGCTGGTCTGACCTGGGGAGAACAAGGGATTAAACATGTTCACACCAAGTTGTGAGTGACCCTGGCCATGGCTTCTAATATTCATATGTAGGGGAAACCGAAGTTTTGAAAAGTATCAAAGAAGCAATTGATGGTGGTGAATCTCAGAAGAAATGTTTTTATGCCAGGGGAAAAAGAGATTGACCAAAGTTCCCTACAAAACTCTGATGTCCCATTTGTGCTCCTAGGATATAGCAGCACAAACCTGTTATTTCCTTTACGGTTTTTAGAATATCCAGTTCCTTTGGATCTAGAGGAGGAGTACGTGTGTAGGAGTCCCTGAAAGAAATGGCAGAATGATTATTAATTATCTGTCTTTACCAGTTAAAGCAGCAGATTTTCTTTTCTCTGCACAAGTAAACCTAACTATTACTTACCCCTTAAATGCTACTGGCAGGATATGAAGATCTCCACTGATAGAAGTACAGTTTTTGAAGTGCTTTATGTTTGTAGCATTTATGGAAAGTGTGTCTTTAAATTCACCAATTCCTATTCCGTTACAAACTGTTAAGAGAGATGTTTGTTATATTCACATTTGATGAATTAAAATGAACTGGAGTTTCACAGGCAGAGGGTAGCAGAAAGAGAATTCCCGCCCTGAGAACCCCTCCCACCATGCTATCGTTGTTCATTCATTTGACAAACATTGAGGGGAAGCCTGCTAGGTACCAGGACATGCAGGCTTGGTAGTTGCAATGGTGAAAGGAGATGCTGGTCTCATTACAGCCCTCACTGGGCTTGAATCCTCCTCCTCATACTTTTCCACTTGAGTAATATAGTCCAAAGGCTCCCAAAGACTCTTGCCCCTCCCCTTTTTTGCCCACCATAGCACACCTGGGCCACAGGTGCTGCCTCTGAGCACAACTCTAACCAGAGAACGCCCCTGACCAAATCTTCCATGCCTACTGTTACCCTAACCTGGTTTCCCAGATTTATCTTATACTTTAAAGAAACAATATATTTTATTATTATTAGAAGAGTAGGATGTGTCCCCGTGGAGGTGGACAACAGCGGCCAGCCTCAGGGTAAGGGAGGAAGCCCTGACCACACACACTCTGCAGGCTCCTACCTTTGCGACACGGCCCTTCACACTTCTTACACTTGCGAACACCATCCTCCTCCATCTCATAGCTATCAGGACCACAGGCGCGGACACAGGAGCCATGGTCTGTCACCACATAGTTCCCTGAGGAAGAGACAAAGAAAGGAAGGTGGTGAAGGCAGCAGCAGGTGTCCTGGGCCTCCCAGGTACATCCTACGTCCTATGGGTACAAGGTCCCTGATCCTTGAGTTGAATTTATTTGGGCACAGAGAAGGAAAGGCTACAAACAGAAAGAGAACTAAGTTCAATAGCTTTCAAGACTGCAATATGGAGAAATACAGATGCTTCATCATAGCCGGAAAAGAATTGTGTAAGGGAGGAAACTGTACCCTCATCAGGTGAAAGCATTGATTTGAAGCTCAGTTTTCTCCATAGTTCTCCATGGGCTTCATCTTCAGGACTGAGACTTAAATCCTGAATCTTTATTAAATCTATAAGCCTAAACACAACCATTCTCCCACAAAACTGGCTGCATTTGAGGCTGCATTTCATTCCTGCAGCTTTGCCCATCCATCTTTCTGATGTAGCTGTGTGTCCCTTTGCAAGGAGGTACAAAGGCTAGATAAGTAAGTTTTGCATCCAGAGAGATACCTCAGTCCTTTCCTCCATTTCCCTTCACACACATAATTTATTTCTTTAATATTAATGTCACCACTATTTTTAAAGAAACTCTCTATATTCCTACAGTAGATCCACACAAAAAAATATTTACTGGACATTGGTAATTTTCCTGTAAACTGATGCTCTTGTTATCTTAGGCCCTGAATGTTTTCATGGATTTTTTAAAGCTCTATTAAAAGTTAGATCCTATGTATGTCATAACTGTGGCAACGTTTTCTTTATCTTACTTTGCAATTTACATTACAATAGTCTATTATTCTATTTGCATAGTATTTTTTTTTCTGTACAGAGTTTGAAATTTTTCATGCACACAAATCCAGCAGGGTAATTTCTGCCTTTCATAGTTGTTCTTTTACATTGTCCCCTAATCTCCTTTCTAGAAATCAAGAGCCCTTTAATTAGACATTGTTTCACTTTCTCTGTTCAGAAATAATTCAGGTCACCCTTTCCCTGCAGCCACCAGTGGGATGCAAATATAAATAAGCAAAACCCAAACCCAAACAAATGAAATAAAACAAAAAAAAAAAATAAAGCTTCTGCAATACTTCCAAGAGGAATGATTTCACCATAATTTGAACCACTTAAGAAGGCTGCAGATCTGCTCTTCTCTGTAATTAGGTCTGTTAAATACCTGGTTGGTATAAGAACAAAACAATGAAATAACCCAAAGAACTGTGGTTTTGTGCTAATCAGACAACCGAACATTCTGGACTACTGCAGCTGGCCTTTATTTTGGGGGGGCAGAGTGACAGGTGTGTTTCCTGTTATGCAGTTGAGCCACCATAGACACTAGAACCAATATAGACGACGTTGCCCCATAAGCAGAGCCTGAAGCCTTAGTACTCCTTGGCACTCAGCTGGGCCTCACCTCCATACCTGATCAGCATGTGGTCACCTGCCTGAGAACAAGGCAAACACAGAGCCCCAAAGAGCACCCAAGGCACTACCTGAACCCCCCACGGGGCTCAAGGATTTCTGTAACAGACAAAAGAGGATATGGATGCCTGAAAACTCAAAGGCTTTCCCAGGTGAGGCACTCACGGGGACACTTCTTCACACAGGTGGCACCGAAGCTATACTTCCCCTCGGGGTTGACATCCATCTGGTATGTGGTGGGGTTGTACAGCATGAGTGGTGGACAGGTGTCCTTGCATGTTGCTTCATCTCGGAACTTGCGGCAGACCTGCACAGGAGGGACACAGGCCTGGTGGAGCTGGGCAAGGATACTCAGTGCCCCAAATCAAGGAAGCAAGGTGTTTTGTTTTTAGGCTAGAAAGGCTTAGAAAGCTCAGTGCTCAGGTGTTCAATCAGAGTAGAAAAATCTAGAAATGACCTTTGGTAGAGTCAGAACTTTCTCTCAAGAATATGATTTTTCTTAAACATATTGTCCTGGTTATCATAGTTTACAAATTATGATCTGAGAAAATAACTCTCTATTAATTTTCAAATGCAAGAGTTAAGACATTTTTGTGACAACCATTGACTTGAAATTCAATGTACATTGTATTTCCTTTATAAAGAATACTCGAGGATGCATTTTAAAGTTTATGGATAAACTGAAGAAAGACTTCACTAGGAAAGGTGCTATGTAACAAGGGTTATTTTCCCTGAAATCTTCCATTGGAATTGGCCCACCCCAGACCAACCAGTTCAAAATCCCTAGGGGTTGGGCCCAGTCTCTGGAATTTCAGAATCTTCCCTTTGTTGAAACCACTGAGAGACCAGCTTAGGGTGGGCCTCTTTCTGGAGTCTGAGCAGATCTCACTACACTCAGTATTGACCCCGGGAATTGTAACCTCCAGGCCAGATGTGTCTAGGACTTCTGAAATGAAATGCCACAGTGTACACTGGTGACAAGGTTTTTGTGAGTTTTCTGTAGTAGCAGAGACAAGAGTGAAATGCTTCAAGACCCCTTAGGGGTAGGTGGGAGAATAAGAGGCATTGGAACTATGGTAGAAAGAAAAGAAGGATGAGGGACAGGAGACCCAAATACCATACTATTGAAGATCAGGAAAGCTCTGGGTGGATCTCTTAGGGGATTATTTTGGTTTGGATAAGAGATGTTCCCCAAAAGCTCTTGTGGGAACGAAGGAGGTTAAATGATGCAATTATGAGATTTTTAATCTAAAAAATGGATTAATCCATTTGATGGATTAATAATTTTAAAGAACTGCTGTACTGGGTGATCACTGTAGGCAGGTGGGACATGGCTAGAGGAGGTGAGTCACTTTATATCTTGTCCTCCTGGCTCCTTCTTCTCTCTCTCTACTTCCTGGATACCATGAGATGAGCAGTTTTCTTCTACTACCCTTCCACAGTGATGTTCTGCCTCACCTTGTCCCAGAGCAATGTAATTGGCCAGCCATGGACTGAAACTGTGAGTCCAGAACAAACTTATTCTTCTCTAAATTGCTCTTGTCAGGTACTTTGTTCATAGTAACAGAAAGCTGACTAGCATAGGGATCTCACAGTATCAAGGGAAACAATAAATAGTGTGATGCTATTGCTATTGGCAATAACACATATACAGTATTTAGTGCCTATTCTGTGCCTAGTTCCCGGTGATGAATGCCAAGGGTATTATGCTATTATGCTATATCTGTGACTGCCAATATTAATCCACAAACGTCTCCCACGGAAGCCCCTGTCATGGTCGGTGTTGGGGGTGGCAGTGTACAGCAGTTGTGGACCAATTCCAAAAGAAGCAGAAGGGAAGCTTGGTCTTACCAGGCAGTCGCTCTCCCGGGGCCCCGTGCAGCCAGCTGCACACTGGTTATGACAGCAGTCACTGGGGGACTTGCCACGGCAGCGCCCTGAGCACTGCTGGGCACAGATGATCTTGGTCACTGAAAAAGAATAAAGATTACCTGTGAGCTGAGTCAAGGGGTAGGCAAACATTATATCCCAGGGAAAATTAAAGAGCACTTGCAAAAGTAATGGAAAAAGTGGGGAGAAACGATGAATACAGTGATGTAGTGATTCTGTGATTCAAGATCTCAGGCATTCTCATTCAGCCAAACTCAATCCTGTCGTGACTTGCCTCACGGTACCTTTTATTTATTTATTTATTTATTTATTTTTAATTGCTTAGAAGAACTGATCAATCAAGACCTTCTTAATAATTAGACATTAGTCAGACTGAGTCTTTGTGTCTGCACACAAAACATAAGCACTTGGCAGGAAGAAGTATTTCAGGGGAGGCAGCAACCATGTCACAATGAAATTTAAGGACAGATGGTCAATTTTGAACCTGACAAGTCCCCAGAGTCCTTGGCCACACTGAGTGTGTGAGCCCACAACCAGGATCAGGTAAATTAAATTCTTTCCTGAAGTAGGATTCACACAAAAACTCTCTTAAGAAACATTGTTCAAACTTCTGGGTACCAGGATACCCAGGAATAACGAAGGCAGAGGGAGAGGATGAGTCTCTGATTCTCAGGAAAATGTGCAAAAAACCATGTTATCCAGAAGAAATGACTAGGACATAGGTGGCTGGCTTTCACGTATTTATGAAAGGCTGAAGTGGCCCAAAATAGCCCACACTGGAGTAGGCACATACAGTGAGATTTGCAAGACTGTCGTTCATGAAACTGACAACATCTGGCCCTGTGGTCAGGAAGTTGCCTGTAGTCTCTGATGGGAAGACAAATCCAATCCCCTGAATCCAGGTTGGGAGGGTGGTCACATCTTGACTTGGGGCTATGCTCATGGGTGGGGAGGGGTGGTCACACATTGAGCTTCTTCACTGACTAACTTACATTTCTGGCAGTTTTCCTCTCCTGCCCCCCAGCAGCTTCCATTGGGACAGCTTGGATCACACTTTTGGCCTGAAACATAAACATTATAAATTCATATCTCAGCAAAAGTGAACAAATGATAAGAAACTGATGATACCTTTCCCATGGCCCTGGGTAATGTTCTAGAAATAAGAAATAGCTTTAAAACTTCTTATTCTTTGGCTACTTTGTTTATAGGATGATTTAAAAGATCCCCATAAAAAATAAAAAAAAAGGAATCATATACTGATTTTATTTACATTTCAGCTATGGAAACTGAGGCAGAGAGCATTTACTAATTTTTCACAAGCACATAAAGGATAATTTAAATGAAACTAAGGTCCAGAGTTCCAATTTGCATAGGCTTGGGGGATTTTCTGGCATCTTTTACAACAGAATCGAGGTGTCTAATCTGGTGGAGTCCTTAGTATGTACTTACTATATCTTTGCCATGTGTGGTCATGAGTGAACGAGTGGATCAGTCATCTTTGGGTATTTGAGTATAAACATGTCAATAGTGTATACTACTATGTTAATTATCTCAAATCTAAGCTAATAGTTTACAAGCTACTATCCAGAAATCTTGGCAATTGATCAGTTTTTATAATTGTTCAATTACAAATTATATGTACAAAGACTTTTAATCTCTTTAACGATGTTTTATTTTTTATCAGCACTGAGAAATCTTAAGCCCAGATTGTGAAATCAACAGAGAAAAAAACAGGTTGATCACGAAATTTGTTAAAAAGGGAACAATCATGGGAACATCTCTGTGTGTGTGTTGCTGGAGATCAAAACTGGGGCCTCATTGGGATTACAAACCTGTAATCTTAGAGACTTGGAAGGTTGAGCACGAGGATCACAAATTTGAGGCCAGCCTCAGCAATTTACCAAGACCCTCAGCAACACAGAAAGATACTGACTCAAAATAAAAAGTCAAAAGGAATGGGGATGTAACTCAGTAGTAAAACACCCCTGTACTAAATTCCTAGTACCCAAATCAGCCAACCAACCAAACAACCCTGGAGTTTCATGAATGTTAGATGAGAACTACACTCTTAGTTACAACCCCAGCCCCATGCAGATATCTTTTAGTATAAACATATCATAATCCAAAGGAGGTAATATGTGCTACAATGTCTCCTATTCTCAGGAAGATTTTAGCTGCTGTAAGAATTTAGGTTGCAAATGGAAGAGGTGACAATTTGCCAAGTGTAGTGAACCAGGAGACCCATCTAAAACAAGTGACAATTTCTACCATTGCCACCACGAGTGACAGAAATTAATGCAATGCTGGAGCCCACTCCCTGGAGTCATGAAAGATGTTAAGGCCAAGCACTACATGGATGGTGTGTGTGATATGTTGTGAAGACAAAGACAGAGGGAAGGAAACAGAGAAACAAAGAGAAGAAAAAGCAAAAGCAAAAGAAGTGTGTTACAAGCAGCTCTGTCTGTACAGTGAAATGATGTTACCGTTACTTTTCACCCTACACATCAACATCTCCCAATTTTGATCATAACCTGTAATAGGTTTATAAAAGAAATATATTTAAAATAAAAATGATCTTTCAGGTAACAGAGAAACATTTGCCAGCCAATGAATTCAAGGTCTGTTTATAATTGTATCATTAACTCTCTGTGACAAAAATTAGATGCATTCCCACTATATGAAATGTATATAGTAAAAAAGCAAGAAAGAAGAAATAAGAATCATTAAGAGGCAATCAATAAGGACATTTAAATATGTATCTATATAAGAATCAAAATCACACTATGCATTGCTTTGTTATCTTAAAAAAACACTAATAAAGTGTTATGACAACTTTTTCATGCCTTTAAATATCCTTCTACCTAGCATGATTTTGGAAGCATGGCTGAATCATAACTTATCCAATCAATCTCTTATTTTTGATATATATTTTGTTTCTAAGATTTATTATAAATAAGGTTTCAAGAAATATTCCTGTGTAAAATACTTTTCTACATCTCTTATGATTTTCACTCCCCTAATTATTTCCTCTCTTATTCTCAGCCAGGGTAGCCAACCATCATGGATATGAAGGCTTTAAATAAGCTTTGGAAACACACTGCCAAAATTCTCTCCCTGACCGTCTTATTAATTTATATGTCTAGAGCAGAATATAAGAATTTCTGTGCCCCTGTACCCTGATTGACCCATGCATCTAAAATTGAAAGAAATTCAAATATTTAGCAAAAGCAAAAATTAGACTTCCTTATTTTTTCGACCTTTTTACTATAGTGAGAAATAAAATTTTACCTGATTTCTTGGCCACCTATTTTGTAAAAGTGTATGTACATGGTTGTATATGTGTGGGGGCATGCTCATGCACCTGCTCAAGTCCTTAGCCCATTTTGGTAGTGGTGGGTCATCCTGTCAGGATTTCCTTCATGGCAATCAGATGTCATATAATATTTGTCATTACATGTTTTTACATGGAAATTTTCTTTTATGTTATCTAACTTTGGATTTTATTCAATGTGTTATTATAAATATTCATATTTACGTTTCCATCTACCTCTTACATCCATGTTTAATACTTTATTATATATATTTAATATATTTGGAACTTATCTTAAGGTATGGAATGGGTGATGAATTTATTTTCTTTCTTTTTTGTTTGAATTTATTTTCCTTTCAAGATAATTATTCACTCTAACCTCAAATTCCCAACTTTATTAACAAAAGCACAAAGCTGGGGTACATAGTTTGACTTTTCTGAATTTCAGATGTTTTTCCTATAAAATACTCGACTCATCTCACAGGATTTTTTTTTTTTTTTGTAAAAATGAAACGAGATAAGTTTTCAGGAGAAATGTGTGGACTGCAAAGCAATGGTTAAGGGAGGAGTCCACTTTCCACAAGGAGATTGGCAGTAGGTAATGAGGAAGCTATAGGTATAAGGTGATTTTGTACTTTCCAGTATGACTAACCTAATATACCTAGTTTGTCTTAAAACAAAACAAAACAAAACAAAACAAAACAAACAAAAAACCCTTTACAGCTCTATCAGTTCTATATTTCTCCCTAATCATTAAGTCATTTCAGAACAATTTCTTGAATTAATTTTTACTTGAAATGCCATTTCCTTATGGACTTTTGATTTAGTTAGGTTTATAATTGCTATAGTTTGGACCTGAAATGTCCTTCAAAAACCCATATTTTAAAGGATTAATCCCCAGGTTGGTGCTCTTGGGAAATGGTGGAAAGTTTAAGAGGTGGGGCCTAGTGGGAAGTTTGGTCACTGGGGGAGTTGGGGAAAATGTACTTGAAAGGAATATTGGGATTCTTGCCCCTTCTCTTTCTTTCTCTTTTGCTTCCAGCTGCCATGAGGTGAGTGACTTCCTCTGCCATCTACTTCTGCCATGATGTGCTGCCTTTGCACAGGCCCAAAAACTTTGAGACCAACTTACCATGGACTACAACCTTCAAAACTCTGAATTAAAAAAACCCTTTCCTCTTTTAAGTTGATTATCTCAGGTATTTTATTATAGTAGTGGAAAGATAACACAATAATTCTTTAATCAATACCATATTGATTTACAGCTTATAGTGTCATCATATTTGACTCTTAATTATTTCATGAACCTGTCCACCCATCATTTTTTTTCCCAATGCCTCTTGTTGGATCTTCCTTACAATCATGATGGCAGTGAGAACAGGTGTACCATTGCAGGCTGTCTGATCTTATTCATGGCAAATCCATAACCTTTGTTTGTAAGATTTTTTTTTTGTTGTTATAAATCTGAACAATTTGACCTCCCTATATTTCCTCATATAGCTGAGGAAATTCTAACTTTGGTCTCATGAATAATACAAAAATTTGCATTCTAAAATAAAAACTTTAAGTTTATTGCAAACACAATGGGTGATATGTTGGGTATCTGGTAGAATGATACATTTATAAAATAGAAGAGCTCAATATCCATTTTCATAGTAGCATTGGTTAGGGAGTTAAAAGATAAATGTGATATACTAATGATGGAATATCATTTGGTCATATAAAGGAAGAAAATTTTGACACATGCTACAACATGTATGGACCTTGAGGACATTATACTAAGTGAAATAAGTCAGATACACAAAAGGACAAATACTGTGCGATTCCACCTGTACCTAGAGTACTCAACCTTATTGAGACAGAAATTAGATTGAGGGCTACCTAGGCTGGAGCCTAGGGAGGAAGGGAAAACAGGAGTTATTGATTAATGGATATCTAATTTCAGCTTTGCAAGATAAAAGGAGTTCTGCCAGTACACAGTGGTAATGGCGACAATACGACAGAGATGCATAATGTCATTGAAGTTTACATTTAAACATGGTTAAGGTAATAAATTTTATATTATGAATATTCCATCACAACCAGTCAATCAATAAACATGAAGCAAACAGAAACAGAAAAGAACATCCAGCTGATGATTTTGAAGAGTTGTGTCAGCTACATTTTGAGACCAAAAATAAACATGCTTCCACTGAACAGCTGTAAGGAAACAGAGATGCAGGAAGTGGTCATCCCTTCTTATTTTAAAGGGTTGAAATACCAGGGGGGTATCAGGAAGGGGATCAAACTCAGGGGAGCTTGGTAAGTGTAAGCATGTGTCTTTCAGAGTTTACCACATGGCCTTGGCAATGGGCAAGGGGTGTAACCATGACCTTAGGCCTGGTCTCCTGCCAGGCCCTCCCTCACAAAGCTGCTTTACTGATGAACAGGGCAGGGATGAGGTCAGAAGAATTCAGGGAAATATTTACAAACTTCCTCCCTGTGGGCTGTACCCAATTTTGCCTGTGGTTCCATGTGGGAGTGCCTACAGTCATAATCCAGAGGGCAGAAGTCAAGGGGTCAAGAGGGCTGGGGTACCACTGTAGGACTCAGTAGAAATTTGGTAGCACACAAGAGGTTGGCCAATCTCCATGAGGCAGGATGGGAGAAGCCTCAAGCCAGGACTAAAGGCTACCACTACAGTTCTTCCTGCAACCAGTAATTCTGCTCAAGGGCTATTCAAGGGTTCAGGCTCTGCGTGAGCAGGTGTGCTACCCTGCAACACAAAAAGTAGACTTTTACCTCTGTATTATATAAAAGCTCTCCTGGCAGGCAGATAATGTGTTTACTACTTATTTTTGTTTTAGTATAATATGACTTAACAATAAACATGCTGTCTCTCTCCCCAACTCCAGCACTGAACAGCTCTACCCACCATGGAAGTTGGAAGCCAAGAGAAAGATCTTGCAACACTTACAGCTGCCCAGGCGGTTCTGCAAGTCCATTGACATATTGCTCATAAAGTCATTGTCGACGATATCCTGCCACTGGATGCTTTCCATGTTGCAGAGGACAGGGTTATTGCTGAACCGCACAGCACCATGCAGGATTTCTACATGAACAGAACCACAGTAAGCAAACTTTCCATCTCCTTTAAATTTACATGATGCATGCACACATTTTTTACACTTTACGTTCCAATAGAAAGATGCCAGTGTGCAAATGGTCAGTCCTATGGAAGCCGTGATGGGGGCACACAAAAACTCAGTTTATGATAGTGCTATGGAGGAGTTAGGATTTCTCCTGACCTGGGCTTTGAATAATAATTAGAAGTTTAGAAATACAGCAGGGAGGGAATGGTTAGTCAGTGGGCACAGAATGAATGATAACTATTCAGTAGTGGTTCTGGGATCTGATCAAGCTGGATGAGGACTGATTGAAGAGGTGAAGGAGCAGATAGGGCAGGAAGAGCCTGTGGCAGTCACAGGCATTATAGATTCAGGATGGCAGGATAGGGTGGCCAACCTTCACCTAGCATGCTCCCAGGTGGCTCTGGAGAATATCATGAGGAAAGGGTGTACGCCTGTTATGGAGTAAGAACTGTATGTATGAAAAAGTCACAGGTGGACACCAGAGACATGAGAGATGCACAAGACTGTACTGTACAATTGTTTCAAGGAAGTCAGGATAGGGCATGAAAAAGTTTGGGATGGAAAAAAAAATTCAAGCCTGGACAAAGAGAGAGTGCTGCATTGATAACATTTAAACATAAATATTTCTGAAAATGACTTTTGTGTACAAAACACTGAACAGGTGCTGTGGGGTCTGCAAAGATGGATTAGACCTGCTGGCTTCTTTTTGAGGACTGACACACCAATAAAACAGATTAATGGTTCTGTTTAATGGTCCTGTGCCCCCGGGAGACCATGATGATGAGGCTGGGTACTGGGCTAGTTGGTGTATAAATATTATCTTCATTAATCCTCACAATTGTCCAATGACTATCATTTAAATGTAGAGGAAAAAAAAATCTTAGTGCTCAGCATTCCACAGGCAGGGAATGGATACAACATGTGCACAAAGTACCAATGCTGAAAAGAAAGGATTCTCCTGGGGAAGAACTCAGAGGCTGCTGGAAAGAATGAGATTTCCAGAATGTATTTACACACTTATTTTATAGGAATAAGAAAGAAAGGCTCTTGCAGAAAGAAGACTTGAAAGCAAAGACACAGAAGGCCTCCAGTACAGAGTTTTTCGGGTACAGAGTTTTCTCAATAGAGGGAAGAGTATAAAGCAATTGCAGGAGGAAACCTGGGAGATCAGGAAAGGCCAAACTGCAGAGCCTGATATGGAAGTCAGAGATGACCACAGGGTCACCAAGTGCATCACGTGCCTCATGAGAGAGCCACGCACAGATGGATGAAACTGAGAGGCCAGATTTGAAAACACAAGATGGGGATGCCAAGGCTGCAGGGACACTCAGGACAAAAGACCAAGGGGCTGAGAGTGCAGAAAAAACAGAGTCTAAAACAGGGTCTTAGAGAAACCTATTATCAGTGATAGGGAGAAATAAGGGTTAAGAAAGGTGAAGGGGACATCAGGTGCCACTTTCCTGTAGCTTCGAAAAGAAAGACAGTCAGGAGGCAGCCAGATATTTATTTTTACTTTTCACATTCATGAATGCTCATTCTGTGGCAGGCTCTAGGTTGACTGTTAATAATGCTATATTAAATAATCTGGATCTGTACAATCCAACCTTGGTTTAAAAGTAAGAATAATACCAAGGACTCACTAAAGCAGATGCTTTGCCTATGGTGAGTCACTTAATTTTCTCAACAGTCCTAACTATTGTGGTGAGTATGCAGCCCACATTTCTGAAGGTGAGGCACAGGGAGCTGAAAGATCGTGATCCAGAGTCTCTGCTTAGTGAGTGATAGAGCCCCGGCTGGAACCCAGACAGTCTGGCTCCAGGAACCAGACTCACGCCCGCTGGGGCCTTTTTCATGACACATGTGAGGCAAGACAGGCAGAGTGAGGCACACTGAATGTACCGAATCAGCCACTTCACAAAATGCAAGTAAAACACCACGAGTGCTAGAATAAACACAGAAACATGAGCGTGGGTGCTCCGAGCAGTAAAGCTGTGGGTAGGAATTTTTAAGGCAATTTATAGGATGGTAAATGAAGGAACCAAGGAGATGATTGCCTAGCTGTTTCCATTCTCAGCTTTGGATATGTGGCTCACACTCCAGCTCTGCACACCTGCTAGGCTCCTGTCATTCCAAACAAGGCCTCCTCTGCTCCACACCCCTCTTCTTATCTTGCTCCTTTCCCTTTCAGCTCTATGTCTCCATCAGAACCACACAGGAAGAATGAAATATGGAGACAGTGATTTGGGGCCATCCCTGGCTTCTCTGTTTACTAGCATGGGGCCTTGGGACAGTTAATTTACTGCCATTTCTCTATTTGTAAAACGACTGCATGTAACACCCACTTTGAAAGAGCGATGTGGGCAGTAAATGCAGTTACTGATTTAACATGCCTGCCATGCGGTAGGGCACAATTGTTGTCTATTTTTATCTACACTTTTTTTTTTTTTAAAGTCAATTTATCCTCATTTCTACCATCTCCAGTTTCCTCTCCCAGGAGCCTCCCAAGTATCCTTCTTACAAGAATTCAAACTTCTATCAAATCTTCATTCCTTGTCCTTAACTTATACCTGATTTTCCATATAACAGCACTACTCTTGAGACTGCATCAAATGTGGGTAGGGTTTTTAATGTACACTAATACCGCCTTATCAGCAATTTTGCTTTACGTAAGTTTCAAATCCCATTGCAAACTAGGTAACAAAATTATTGCTTATTCAATAAGATACTTGAGAGAGAGAGAGAGAGAGAGAGAGAACAAGATTATATTCATGTAACTTTATTATAGTGTTCTGTCATAATTGTTCTGTTATTATTCATTAATGGTGTTAATCTCTTACTATGCCCAATTTATAAATTAAACTGCCAGAGGTATGTATATATAGGACAAAAACAGTATAAATAGGCATTTTGGTGCTACAGAGATGATGGGCATTTACTGGAGGTTTGGAATATATCCCCCCCGAGTATGAGAGAGAATTACTGTTTGTCCTTATATACCTGAGATCTAGTTCAGAAGGCTGGCAATTTATTTCTTCCCCACATGCATGAACTCTCTATTCCAGTGCAGGAATAAAAAAAGATTCTTTTACCCAGAATCTTTGCCATTTCTTCCTAGCTCTCTGGATATTTTCCCACATCCATGGAAGAATGGGTAACTGGCTGAAATCTTCCCTTTCTATTACATTATCTACCTTCTTCTTAGTAACTTCCACTAAGATTCTGGATCCTGCAAACAGTTGGCATGCAATACATGTGTATTTCGTGAATAAAAGGTGGAATTGAAAAATGTGACAGTTATTGAGTACCAATCAGAATCACCTTCTGCATTTACACACACCCATGACCCCCGTGGCCTCTCACCCTGTAAGTTTCTCATGGGCAGCTCCCTTAGTCCAGTTCTATTTTCACCATAGTTAGACAGGACTGCTAAGGCATAAGTATTTTCATAGAGCACATTTCCTCTGATGATCTGCAGGTTTTCCAAAGGAATCCTCTCCACTGTGTTGAGGGCAATGAGTACATAACCAGCAACTTCCTGGATGGTCTAATGAGATAAAACAACAATATTTTATTTCTCTTTCAAAGAGTTCAAGAATTCAAGGTCTGAAATGGGTCCAGATGTTCCAGGGCACCTAACTGCACCATAATACACACGAGTGGATGACAAATGTAAGATATGTAAATGATTACAACTGAGCAAAGAAGTGACAGGATTTGAAATGATCCAATCCTTCCACTTTGGGTTTTGAAGCCTGTAATGAAGAGCAATGTGCATTAATTAGGAGTACTGCAGCTTAACACTTCAGATGAAAATGAAAATTTTAAAAAACTACCTTGCATCTATCTCATAATTTCTTTCTTTATTTTTTTTCTGTACCAGGGATTGAACTCGGATGCACTCAACGACTGGGTCACATCCCTGCCCCTTTTTGTGTTTTATTTAGAGACAGGGTCTCACTGAGTTGCTCAGCAGCCTTGATTTTTCCTGCGGCTGTCTTTGAACTCTCAATCCTTCTGTCTCAGCCTCCCAAGCTGCTGGGATTACAGGTGTGCGCCACAGTGCCCAGCTCTCATATAATTTCTTACCAAAAAAAGTAAAAGAGGGAGGGAAGGAGAGCTCGAGAGGTGGGGTGGGGTGAGAAGGAAAGAGGAAGAAAGGAAGGAAAGAAGGCAGGTAGGCAGGCAGGCTGGCCAGCCAGACAAATCCAATCAAAATTTAAGTACCATCAAACTCTAAGCTTACTGTAAAATATTTAGGAATTGTGAGAACTGATTATAATCTCTTGGGAGCTTGAAATTGGCTATGGTGAGAATATTTATGCCAAGGATAAAGGCACATACTATAAAGCCAGGATTTTTATAATTATTATTTTTTTGGAGGGGGGTAACTAAGGATTAAACCCAGGCGTGCTCAATCACTGAGCCACATCCCCAGCCCCTTTTTTAAAAAATATATTTTATTTAGACACAGAAGAGCACAGAGTTGCTTAGCACCTCACTAAGTTGCTGAGGCTGGCTTTGAACTTGCAGTCCTCCTGCCTCAGCCTCCCGAGCCACTGGGATTACAGGTGAGCACCTCCATACCCAGCTATTTTCATTATTTTTCAAAAGACCAGATATGCCAGCATACTATGACTGAAGCAATGGCTAGCGATTAATGTCAGAATCTGTGGTGACAGTGGAGTTCCAGGCTAGCTGTTTCTCTCCAATATTCTTTTTTAGCTATAACCTGATCCAAGATAGTAAAGGACACTCTCACAAAAATCTCATCTATATATAGCTCCTTTGGACTTGGAACCACCACAATGAAAAGTAAACATGCTTCAAGTTAAATTCTGTCTAGCTGTTTTCTGCTAATATGAACTTCTATCATATTTGGGTAGGATAACAAATTCATCCAAACAAACCTTTAAGAAGGAAAGGTCATAATTCTTTTGCACGTAGGTAATTTCCAAGTTCCCCAGGACCACTTCACAGTTATTGAACATCCTCTGGAGGCTCAGAAAGTGATCTTCACAAGTGCCCAACTGGGTGAGCTTGTTACTTGTGCCTTGGCAAACTGGAATAAAGGGAAAAAAAAGATATGTCATAAAATGCTTTGAAGTAACAAAACTAATATAAATATTTACTAACTTTCTAAGCTTTAGTGATTTACAATATTAATTCTGATCAAAGGATATTTCAAGACCAGTGTGATAAAAGATGTTAAAGCTTATGTAAGGTGTAATTCAATGTAAGAGGAAATGCATCTCTATACTGCATGGGATTTCATTATATTAAAATATGTAAAAAATGTTTAAAATTCAATGGGAATATATGAAACTTCTATGAAAGTCTTTAAGACAAAAAAAATTCTGTAAGAGTTCTGGTAGTCAAAAAGAAAATTTCATAAGGAATTTAATAATTACAAGGTTGAGTTAATAATTGTAAAATGAACATTTTAGTTTGCAAAAAGTTAGCATGCACATTGTGTGTGCAAAGAATGTGCACAAACATAACATACACTAGACAATATTTTCTGACCATCACACTATAGATCTAAAGTCAATCACAAGCACATAATTGAAAAACCCATCTGGGTGGAGATTAAAAATATCCCTCTATACAAATGCAGCAAAGAAAAAAATCAAAGAAATAATTGAATAGTTAGAAAATAACAAAAAAGAAGACACAACTTTTAAGAACACTTGGGGATAGACAAGCATGTTCCTCTGGCTTGTACACTCTGTCATTCCACAGAGCACAAGCAAATGCACAATTGCTTTGCATCAACGGCCAATACACCACCTGGGCACTTTTCACTCCTTAGTGTTTCAGGATGTCAAAGTTTAATCCAAGATAACATTTTAAATTAGGGGCCAAAGTTAGACGGTAGAAATGCACTTGGAAGCTTACATTTAAAAGCAAAGGAGAGGATTATAATAAAGTGATATTTACAAACCTAGCTCTTTGAAAGGCGTGTTTCGGCAAGCCTAACAAAACAAAGAGGCTTGGGGCTTTTGAAGCAGGGAGCTTGTTAATAAGGGACTATGTTTGAACCAAAATTATCATCAGTGAAGAAATATGGCCTCTGGCTTTGGACATTATAATCAGACCTGGTCAGGTCCTTCTTCATCTGTAAAGGCGCTGACTGGACAACCAGGTGGCAGTCCACAGAGCAAGGCCAAAGTCAATACTGCACTGGTACTTTCTTCAGAAACTTTTAAAATATATACTTCTATTTTATAGGCTTCTTTGTTCCCTCCCTATGGGAATTATTCTAAGAGCATCATGTGTCTGCCCTTGCATGACGGAGCCACAGCCACGAGCACATGTTCAAACACCACATAATCAACCCAAGGCATTTATACAAACATTAGCTATGATGCAATCTTCACATCCTTTTTTAACTCTGTGGGGATTTCCCTATTTTTCCCTTCTATGCTCTCATTCAAATTCAATAGTAGTGAAAACTTTCACAAAGGAACTCAGTCCCTATCTCCTATCTGCAAAGGCAGGATGATTGCAGAGTTCTTTCAACCATAATTTTGGCTCAATCCAATGTCGCTCATCTGTTTTTACCCAGGAACCTGGGCTACTTTGACT